TACCTTTCTGATGAACTTTTAATCCACTTTACCTGATCGTCGATATCGTTTCTATTATTGCAGTAAGTTTTTAGTGCAAGTCGTGTACCGCATATATAACATTTAAAGCATCCTTGATGAAAGTACGTAGAATCTTTCAACGGCCCAACTTTATCGGTAGGATAAACTGGTTTTGAACATCGATGGCACAACTCTTTTACCATCTGAATAATATTATGTTTTTTCTCTGCTTTTAAATCTTCCGTTGCCCTTTTTTCAGTTTTTCAAAAGCGCTTCAACAACGACCATGATAAAAGTTATAACAGAAAAGCACAGAAAAAAATTGCCAATATTTATTTTTAAATAAAAGTAAAGAAAAAAGGATTCATATTAATACAAAAATCAATCTTTCCAAGCGATTACATCAGCAAAATTGTAAAAGTCAAAAAAAAAACTACGATATAAGCGCAGCCGACGTCCAAAAAGAAAAGAGTATGCAAATTTTAATCGAAGAACCAACAAGTTCTTCAAATTGTTGCCGACTGCTTTAATACTTTTAGAACTTTCCTATCATTTCTTTAACCACCTTCCATCCCAAATATCACGAAACTTCAAATTGTTTTTACATAAAGCTTTTGTTCGTCTATTATTTAAATCAAAAAAAAAAAAGAATGTATTCAATGAGGTGAAAATAATTTAATTTCAAAAAAAAAAGGGAAAAACGACTAAAAAGCAGTAACATTTGTTTTCCTTTTTTTTTTTCTTTTTTGTCAATTTATTTATTTGTTTTAGTTCAGTAATTTTTACTGGTAATAAAAGCAATTCCGGCCAACAGCATATATAAAGAATTTTTTGTTTTTGTTGTTCTTCAAAAGAAAAAAATCTATTAGATAAAATCTTTTAAGTAATGTCCAGTTTTGATTTGTACAGTTCAAAAGAAAAAAAATCAAAAAACTAAAAAAAAAAAATTAGTTTAACAGTTAGAGGAGAAGTTTGCAAAAAGTAAACTTTATTTTCTTCAAAATAAATATTTATTCGTTAGAATTTTTTGGCAAAACTGCTTTATAGTATCAATTTCTGCATTTTCTTTCCTTTTTTTTGTAATAAACTGGAAAAAAAACTGTTTATAAACTGGAAAAAGATCTTGAATGTATAAATTTAAATATTAAAAAAAAGTAGAGGCAGAAAAACAAGTTTATTTTGAATTTTAACTGAACATTTGTTCGTTATGATGAGATAATCAGAGACTGAATGCTGCTGCCAATGCTGCTGCTGTTGGCTGATAAATACGGTAGCTGCTGCTCAGTGATTAGCGTATTGTTACGTCTAAACAATATCGATTTAGCCAATCAACAGGCTGCTTTAATGCCTTTAACCAATCACGGCAAGCAGTTAACACTTTTTTTAGCAGCAGCAAAGATAGCTGAAACTGCAGCAGACATTAAGTATCAGCTACAGCCGTAGAATCAATTTTAATAGTTACCGTAATTTTTATTAGTTTTTAATCGGTTTTGTTAAGAAAATAAAACGAAAAAAAAAAAGGACGAGAAAAAAGTGCAGTTAACAACCATAATGTAGATAAAATTTTGGAATACGGGGTAAAAGAGATAAAAATAAAACTAAAATAAAATAAAAACAAGGCAAGTCTTTATTAATAAATAAAA